TCCACTGCTGAACGGCTCTCACAGTCAGGAAGTTCTTCCTCGTGTTCAGATGGAATCTCCTCTCTTGTAGTTTGAAGCCATTGTTCCGCGTCCTAGTCCAGGAAGCAGAAAACAAGCTTGCTCCCTCCTCCCTGTGGCTTCCTCTCACATATTTATACATGGCTATCATATCCTCTCAGCCTTCTCTTCTTCAGGCTAAACATGCCCAGCTCCTTAAGCCGCTCCTCATAGGGTGTGTTCTCCAGACCTTTTATCATTTTAGTCGCCCTCCTCTGGACACATTCCAGCTTGTCAATATCTCTCTTGAATTGTGGTGCCCAGAATTGGACACAATATTCCAGGTGTGGTCTAACCAAAGCGGAATAGAGGGGTAGCATTCCTAGATCTAGACACTATGCTCCTATTGATGCAGGCCAAAATCCCATTGGCTTTTTTTGCCGCCACATCACATTGTTGGTTCATGTTTAACTTGCTGTCCACGAGGACTCCAAGATCTTTTTCACACGTACTGCTCTCGAGCCAGGCCTCCCCCATTCTGTATCTTTGCATCTTTGGAATGGTGGCTTGCACTCTTTTGGTAGAGAAGGCAAAATACTCTGCAAACCACAACTCCCTAAGATTCCATAGCATTCAAAAGTGGTGTCAAACTGCTGGCCAGGGTGGTCCATGTCTTAGTTTACCTCCAGATTGGATTACTGTAATGCACTCTACGTGGGGCTGCCCTTGAAGACTGGATAATAAGAGTTAAGCCTTGGTCAATTTGCCTTCCCATCAGGCCCGTAGCCAGGATTTCGTTTCGGGGGGGGGGGGTGTGAATTTTTGTCAGGGGGGGTTTCGGGGGGGGGGCTGAGTTTCGGGGGGCTGAGTCTGAGTGAAAGAGGGTCTAGCCTAGCAAACCTTTTGTAACATTACCCCAATACCCCCATGCATATGGGATATATTGAGTATGGTGATCAGATCATGATATGAATAAACATAACAGTTTAAATAATGCACCAGTAAGGCCTTTTCGCAAACCACCATGAGAATTTGGGGGGGGGGCTGAAGCCCCTCAAGCCCAACAACAAGGACCCTTCCCATGTTAGACAGTGTGTACATTTAATCAAGGTTTTATGCCCTATGTTTCATATATAGCAGAAGGTAGCACATTTATTACTGAGAAACCCCCTCCCTTTACACTTATGTGCTCTCTTGAACTTCTATGGGACTCTGGTGGGAAGGATAAGGGGATATATTCTCTGTATCATGATTTCTATATTTTCATATTTTTCCCCTGTGTATCTGACCTTTTCCTAACCCTTTTTTGCCCCATTCCCCTTTTTGGAAAAAATGTATAAAAATATAAGGAAGTTGCCCTGACCTTGGAAAGGAAGAAATTAGCAGTTGAAAGAACCCTTATCAAAAGACACTTCTTGCATGGACTATTACAAAGGTTCGTGACCCCTGGCCTCGGAGGATTTGGCCACCAGAGGAAACGGCCGCTTGGCAATTTTGATTAAATTACAAAGGGACAGAGGGGAGCCTTCAGAAAGCTGTACCTCACCCTGAACTGTCAACAATTCAATCTCTCTACCAAAAAGCATCCAAAGTTTCCCCCATTGTTCCTCTGTCTTGGCATAGAAGAAAATCTGGATTATGGCGGTATCGCCAACATCAATGTTTATTAGGACCACTCCAAGAACAATAGAAGGCTAGCTCAAAGGCCTTTTTAGGACTCACCAGCCCCCTGGACATTTCCTGAACTTCCATAATCCACTCAAGAATGCATTGTATTCCCTTGTCCCGCCTCCCTCTCTCCTGATTCGCTGAAGCGCCTAGGCGGCAGAAGCCCTCTGATTGGCCCAGGTGCACAGCAGAAGCCTTGTGATTGGCCCAGGCACTTGAGAGGCAGCGGAGCCTCCTCCCAGCTGTTGAAGCGCCAGCCAATCACCTTCAAGCTGGGCGGAGGGTAGGGAGCAGGAGATTCAAACTGGACAACTCTGTTTCTCTATAAAAATGGCTTTTATTTGTACTAATGCATGCGTAGCTTGGCGAAATATTGCTGCTCTGCATCCTTTTCAGCTGAATCGCTAATAAATCATCTCGGTGGTGCTTCCTTCAACCTTGGTGAGATTCTTTTTGGGAACCTAGGGAAAAACAAGTATTTTAAAATTGGGCTTCTCTTTGCTCACCATTGTAGTGATCCCTCTTTGGTGGGCCGCAGGGTCTCTCCTTTAGAGCCAGACCCTTTTAAATTCCTCCATGATTTCAAAAGGAGGTGGGACTGAGAGTAGAGCCTCCCCAGATGATCATAACATCCTTGGCGATTCGTAGAGGGAGATAGTTCTGACAGATAAACTGGGCCAGAACTGTTTAGGTTCCCAACAGCTTCACTTACAGCGCCTCCTGCTTGACTCCATTGCCATCATCAGCCACCAGGAAGTCGGACTTGTTGACGCGTCATTTGGCTTTACTGCTGCCCCGCAAAGAGTCCATCTCCCTGGCCTCCTCCTCCACCTCAGCCAACAAGGCATGCTGCTTGAAGCCCATGCCATTGGGGGCCAGCAAAAGTGACTCTAGAGGCACCCTTCCCATCCTCCTCCTCCTCCTCCTTGGTGACTCTTGGCTATGGTCGGCCCCCTCAGCACCACCAAATCCAAAACATCGTGGCCCCTCATGCACACTCCCCACAGATACTCCACTTTGCTCTCATGCCAGCCAGCCATGCCCATTGGTTGTGCTCCAAGCATTGGCCTGCGGAGTGTGAGACGTATGTCAGACACTAAGTCTTAACTTGTTTCTGAGCTCTCACATCCACCAATGAGTGTAAAAAATATGTAAATATAATTCATCTATTTTAAAGCCCAAGTAATCTCAAGGCACACAATACTAAGATCCACCAATTAGTGTACGTAAAGGTAAAGGTTTTCACCTGACATTAAGTCCAGTCGTGTCCGACTCTGGGGGATGGGTGCTCATCTCTATTTCTAAGCCAAAGGGCCAGCGCTGTCCATAGACACCTCCAAGGTCATGTGGCTGGCATGACTGCACAAAATGCCATTACCTTCCTGCCGAAGCGGTACCTATTGATCTACTCACATTTGTATGTTTTCAAACTGCTAGGTTGGCAGCAGCTGGGGCTAACAGCAGGAGCTCCCCCCAACTTCCCGGATTTGAACTGGCTACCTTTCGGTCAGCAAGTTCAGCAGCTCAGCGGTTTAAGCCACTGCGCCACCGGGGGCATTACATACTATTGACAATGAGTGTAAATAGTATGTAAATGTAATTCATTTATTTTAAAAACCAATAACCCCAAGGTACACACTACTAAGATCTTTTGCTGCTAAATATCAGGTGTCATGTTTTTGGAGATGCAGCAGAGACACACAGATGCAGGGAAAAAAACATGCATTTCTTTATTAGTATATAAAGTACTACAAATAAATAAATAATTAAAATCTAGTGCCGTATAAATGCAGAAGGTTGGGAAATGTGACCATCAGATTTTTAATGTATTGTCGAAGGCTTTCATGGCCGGAATCACTGGGTTGTTGTAGGTTTTTTGATCAAATGCTAATCAAGGTGGTCAGTTGAAACATTCACACCTAGCTCCAACAGACAAGAGTCCTTTGTCCCACCCTGGTCATTCCACAGATATATAAACCCTTTTTCCTAGTTCCAACAGACCTCACTACCTCTGAGGATGCTTACCATAGATGTAGGCGAAACGTCAGGAAAAATGCCTCTAGAACATGGCCATATAGCCCGAAAAAACCTACAGCAACCCATCAGATTTTTGTTTGCAATGGCTCTGTTAAAAGCACAAGGCCAGTTCACACATGTGAATAACCAAGTAATAACCATAACCAAAGGCCTCTTGAACATTATAGATATCCTTTTTCTATCATCTCCACTTCAATACTTCCACGCGTAATTGGTTTCCACTTTCTGATGACAGTAATACACAGTGATTAAAGTTTGTTGTACTTATGCAAAGTGGTCTATAGATCCCCAAATTGAGGACCCCCCCCCCCCCGGTGGCACCATAAATCCTTGCGCCGGCAGGATTGAAGACCGACAGGTCAGAGGTTCGAATCCAGGGAGAGCACGGATGAGCTCCCTCTGTCAGCTCCAGCTCTCCATGTGGGGATATGAGAGAAGCCTCCCACAAGGATGATAAAACATCAAAACATTTGGCCATCTCCTAGGCAACATCCTTGCAGACAGCCAATTCTTTCACACCAGAAGCAACTTGCCGTTTCTCAAGTCACTCCCGACACAGGGGAAAAAAATCCCCATATTGAAGTTCAAACTTCTAAGCTGCATCTACATTGTAGAATTAATGCAGTTTGACTCCACTTTATCTGTCATGGCTCAATGCTATGGAAACATGGAATTTGTGGTTTTAAAAGGTCTTTAGCCTTTTCTGCCAAAAAGTGACGATTCCTCAGGAAAGGACAACTTCTAGGTTTCCATAGCATTGAGCCAAGGCAGTTAAAAGTGTTGGCAAAATCCATTCATTCTACGGTGCAGATGCACCTAAGGTTTTAATTACTCCTCTGTCATCCCAGTTTTTCAACTGCTTTTATAAATGTCTTGGCCTCTCTCTCCATCAACCTTCCCCCTTTGTCCTCAGCTAACCTCAGATGCTGCAAATGTATCTTTGAAAGTAGATTGCATTCAGATGTGTTGGTAAAAGGGAAAGGTTGTCCCCTGACATTAAGTCCAGTCATGTCTGACTCTAGGATGTAGTGCTTATCTCCATTTCTAAGTCGAAGAACTGGTGTTGTCCATAGACACCTCCAAGGTCATATGGCCAGCATGACTACATGGAACGCCGTTATCTTCCCACCGGAGCGGTACCTATTAATCTACTCACATTTGCATGTTTTCGAACTACTAGGTTGGCAGAAGCTAGGGCTGACAGCAGAAGCTCACGCCGCTCCCCGGAATCGAACCTGCAACCTTTCGGTCAACAGGTGTTAGGAATTGTGGAAATTGAAGTCCAAAACACCTGGAGGGCCAAAGTTTGCCCATGTCTGATTTAGAGAGCCAAAGGGATGCTTATTTATATTGTGGCTGAATTAGAAACACTTAACTATAGTATGAATGTGGGGACTCTATGGAAGGATCCTCAGGGATTTCCAAACTGGGAGCGTCTAAATGCAAAGCCTCTTTTCTCCTCAAGCTAGTGGGGACTTCTAAGACGCAAGCCCTGAGGTCGGCATAAGCTTGAGGCAATGTCCCAACACTGACCCATCGGTCATGAATGGCGTTATAGCAGTGAATCAGGTGAGTGTCGCGATAGGTGTTGTGGCTGTAGCCCCCCAAGATATAGAGCTCGCCTTCCAGGACGGCGGAGGCGGCAATGACATGGGCCTGTGGCAGAGGACTGAGGGCAAGCCATAGGTCGAGGCTGGGGTCGTACACTTCGCAGGCCAGTTGATCAGCATAACCCCCATGGCCGTCCCGCCAACGCAGGCCCCCCGCCACATAGAGCCGGCCATCCAGGACTTCCATAACATGTCCTGCCCTTTCCTCCCGCATGGTGGACAGCAGGATGGGAGGTGCACCTGGGCGATACTGGATCAAGGTGGAGTGGCAGCGGCACGAGCCATCGCTACCTCCGGAAACATAAATGGCACCATTTAAGACGCAAGCTGCATGGCCACAGAGTGAAGCGGGCAGGGGTTCACAGGGCCTGGAGGGAAGAAAAGGGAGGGGAAAAACAAGATGGAGAGTATAGCGGCTACATCAAAGGCATAATGGGGACTCTCTATTCCAATTTGGTCAAACCTTGCTGGAATACTATGTCCAATTCGCAGTTCGGGGGTCCTCCTGGACTCATCACTGAGCCTGGAATCCCAGGTTGCAGCGTTGGCCAGGGGAGCTTTCGCACAATTGAAACTTTGGGAAGACAGACTTGGCCACAGTGGTCCATGCTCTTGTTACATCTAGGATAGAGTACTGCAACACTCTACATGGGGTTGCCTTTGAAGACTGCTCGGAAGCTTCAAATAGTCCAACGAGAGGCAGCCAGGTTAATAACTGGGGCAGCATGCAGGGAGCAAACAACTTCCATATTACGCCAACTCCACTGGCTGCCAGTTTGCTACTGGGCACAATTCAAAGTGCTGGATTTGGCCTATAAAGCCCTAAAAGGCCCTGGCTCAATTTATCTGTCCGAATGCATCTCCTCCTATGAACTATCACAGAGATTAAGATCCTCCAGGGAGGCCCTGCTTTCCATCCCTCTATTGTCACAGGTGCAATTGGTAGGGATGTGAGACAGGGCCTTCTCGGTGATTGCCCCCCAGCTATGGAACTCTCTTCCTGGTGAGATCAGATTGGCCCCCTCACTCCTGTCTTTCAGAAGGATGGTCAAAACTTGGCTGTGGGACCAAGGCTTTGGGACAGGACAATAAAGCAGAGATAGGAAAAATGTATTGTCGAAGGCTTTCATGGCCGGAATCACTGGGTTGTTGTAGGTTTTTCGGGCTATATGGCCATGTTCTAGAGGCATTTTCTCCTGACATTTCACCTGCATCTATGGCAAGCATCCTCAGAGGTAGTGAGGTCTGTTGGAAGTAGGAAAATGGGTTTATATATCTGTGAAATGACCAGGGTGGGACAAAGGACTTTTGTCTTCTGGAGCTAGGTGTGAATGTTTCAACTGATCACCTTGATTAGCATTTAATGGCTTTTCCTATTTCCATTATCCTAATTCCAACAGACCTACCTCTCAGGATGCTTGCCATAGATGCAGGCGAAACGTCAGGAGAAAATGCCTCTAGAACATGGCCATATAGCCCGAAAAACCTACAACAACCCAGAGATATGAAACTTTACCAGGCCAATTAGATTTGACGCTAATGACCAGGATGGTTTTAAATGGTGTATTTTAATATTGAGATAAATGTTTTTAATTATGTATGCGAATATGAATTCTTGTCCTGGCATTGAATGTTTGCCGTATATATGCTGTGCTCTGCCCTGAGTGCCCTTTAGGATGAGAAGGGCGGAATATAAATGTTTTACATAAATAAATAATTCTGGGCATTTAAGAGAGATACGGACAAGCTGGAAGGGGTCCTGAGGTGGGCGACTAAAATCATCCAAGGTCTGGAGGCCATGTCCTCTGAGGAGAGGCTTAGGGCACTTCCACACAGCCCTACATCCCAGAATATCAAGTCAAGAAATCCCACATTATCTGAGTGTGGACTCAGATAACCCAGTTCAAAGCAGATATTGAGGGATTTTCTGCCTTGATATTCTGGGATATAGGGCTGTGTGGAAGGGCCCTTAGAGAGCTGGGTATGTTTCGCCTACAGAAAATAAGGCTGAGAGGAGACATGATAGCCATGTATATGTGAAAGGATGTCATAAGGAAGAGGGAGCAGGCTTGTTTTCTGCTGCCATGGAAACTGGGACTCTGAGCAATTGGTTCAAATTGAAGTCCAAAACACCTGGAGGGCCAAAGTTTGCCCATGTCTGATCTAGAAAGCCAAAGGGATGCTTATTTATATTATGGCTGAATCAGAAACACTTAACTATAGTATGAATGTGGGGACTCTATGGAAGGATCCCCAGGGATTTCCAAACTGGGAGCATCTAAATGCAAAGCCTCTTTTCTCCTCAAGCTAGTGGGGAAATTTTCCTAATGTTCAGGAGATGCTACCTGAACATTAGGAAAAACTTCCTCACCATAAGAGCTGTTCAACTGTGGAACTCTCTGCGTTGGAGTCCAGTGGAGACTCCTCCTCTGGAGGCTTTTCTAGAAAGGCTGGATGGTTATCTGTCAGAGGTCCTTTGATTGTGCTTTTCCTGCATGGCATGGGGTTGGACTAGATGGTCCATGTGGTCTCTTCCAACAATGATTCCATGAGTCAAAGACATTCCTCATAATGTTCAACCAAAGTTCATCTTTCCATAACATATGCCCGTTAGTTCTTATCTTGTCTTCTGGACAGCACCAAGGACTTTTTCTTGACTCTCTTGTGTATGGCAATCCTCAAAGATTTGAATGATTCTCTCACCCTCTCCCCACTTTCATGCTGCTCTCCTCCAGGTTAAACAACTGCACCTCCTTCAACATTTCCTGACTATTTTCAAGAACCCTCTCTGAAATTGTTCTAGTTTCCTATGCATTCTTCCTAAAGGTGTGCCCAGATGAATTCTGAAAAATTCCTGGCCCTTACCTCCAGGTATTGGTCTTGGGTTCATAACACTCTACCGAATCCAGGCAATAGACATCGTTGGAGCCGCCTCCCAGAGCATAGAAGAAGCCATCCAGAAAGACCACGGGGAAATAGCTCCGGAGACTTGTCATGTCAGCCAATCTCTCCCAACGCTGACAGAGGGGATCAAATCTGTAACACATCAAGGAACATAGTATCAGGGCTCTTACACGTAACCATTTAACCCAGAATATCAAGGCAGAAAATCCCACAATATCTGCTTTGAACTGGGTTATCTGAGTCCACACTGCCATATATTCCAGTTCAAAGCAGATAAGGTGGGATTTTATTCAGCTGTGTGGAAGGGGCCTCAGTTGGGTGGGATGGACAACAATTCTGTTCCCATTTCTGGATCAAACTTGCAAAAATAGTTCTCATTATACACATTATCCTTCCTGTCCTTTCACATTTGTCTCAATAGGCTTAACTGGTCCACCAGCCCATGGCTTTCAAACTTCTAGATTGAAGGTAGTCACCCCAAGGAGTCCCCTGGGTCTATTTTTGTGGGCCCCAGTCCCATAGAGGACAACTATTTAGATAGGAGCCCTCGGTGGCGCAGTGGGTTAAACCCCTGTGCCGGCAGGACTGAAGACCGACAGGTCGCAGGTTCGAATCTGGGGAGAGGCGGATGAGCTCCTTCTATCAGCTCCAGCTCCTCATGCGGGGACATGAGAGAAGCCTCCCACAAGGATGATAAAAACATCAAATCATCCAGGCGTCCCCTGGGCAATGTCCTTGCAGACGGCCAATTCTCTCACACCAGAAGTGACTTGCTCCTGACACGACAAAAAAAAACTATTTAGATTTTCCTCCACTCAAATGACCTCAATGAATGGAAGGGCATTTGCTATGTTTGTGAGCCCCCTCCCCCACTTAAAAAAGCACCCCTACTTTGCCTAAAATAGTTATAATAGTGATTCCATGATTTCGTATATAGTTATACGAAATCATGGAACCACTTGGCGATGCAACTGAATAATGACTTGACATGGTGACGGTCACGATAATGTTTTTAAGGCTTTGTACGGTTTTTTATATTCTTATATTGTATGCTAATGCTTTAAACAGTATTTTATGATTGTTTTATTTGTTATAATTGTTGAGGCATCAAACTGTTGACAATTGTGAACCGCTCCGAGTCGCCTCTGGACTGAGAGGGGTGGTATATAAATGTGGTGAATAAATAAATAAAATGGCTCAAGTGGCCCTAAAACAAAGGGAAATGGTCCCCAGGTTCTCTAGAGGATGTTTGGAGGCATTTGGGGCACAAAATATAATTTGTTTTGCAATGACTGTGGCCATCCAAGATTTCCACGTGGACTAAAATTTCCCACTCGCCTCCCACAGATGCCTATCTCTGGTCTAGGCCACCCAAATCTAAAACCCTAATGAGAGTCTGATTCCTAGAAGGGCAAGGCGCCCTATTTTCCATTTTATCTGGTTGCAGAATCTTTGAGAACCAGCACATCAGATGGGGAGGCAAGATCTACTAGAGTTGTCCTCAGAGTCCATTGGTGGAAACTACAGCCAATCAACTTGTGACAGGACAGAGAAGCATAAGACTATTCCAACCCTCTCAATCCCTTTAATGATTTATCAGATATGATTGGCTCCCAACTTGGCCTTCTGATTGGTGGGAGAGGCCTATATAAACTTCAGAAGTCAGGTCAGCTCAAGCTAGTTTTGATTGCTGAGCGTCAAGATATTATCTCTGACACTAGCTTGCCCTGCCTTTGGGACTTTCCATCTTTGGATTGCACATAACATTCTTCTAGAGCTTTCCTAAACTGTGGTCTCTGTTCCAACAGACATGATAGTAATAATTATCTCCAGATAAAATTTTATTAACCCAGTTTGTTGAAGTGATTGATAATAATAAGGCCAATTTTATTTCCAGCCCCCTCTACTATTATGCCTGCAAGGTGGACCTCCCATAATCCAAGTAGTAAGATTCCCATCTCACTTGAATACAGAGCACATGGTGTCCCTGACGCCATAGTAATGTTTTCCTCCAAATATGTACATCACATTATCCTTGACTGCCACGGCGTGCCGGAAACGTGGCCCTTCGGGGAGATCCTCTAAACGTCGCCATTCAACTTGCTTGACCAACCCAATGCCGTTGCAAAAGCTGTGGGAAAACCAAACATCTGCAGTAGGGCTGCGAGTGGCCATATTTTTGGCCATAAGATCTCCTCCACTGATGACAATCACTTTCTTTGGATATCTCACCCGGCAAGGGAGTTGTTCCATCTTGGAGGGACCTGGTGGGAGGCTGGCTAAAGACTCAACCATGAGGTTATAGAGGCGACCTGGGGAGGCCATCATCTTTTCTGTCCGCACCTGCTTGAACTCCCGAGTGGACATCAAGGGGAATCTAATGCAGCGCATGACTCTCTCTGCGCAGTCCATCCGTCCATCCTGGTCAGCATCCAGCCACCGGACAGCTCCTTTAAAGGCCTCTAGTTCATTGAGGATGTAGAGGGCATCAGAACTGAGGAAATCCACCAGCTGGTTGACAGGAAGGTCCAAAAACTTGGGTGTTTCCATGACAAGAGCAAAGTTCCTCAAGACATAGTTCTCAGCAGTGCTTTCCAGATCACGCAAACCAAAGGCACGGGCAAAGGACAAGACATCCAGACTAGATTCAGGGCTCAGACTATGATGGAAGAAATTGAGACAGAGGTCCAAGATGCCCGAGACCTGGTACTGCAGAGCCGCTTGGGCAGCATCAAAGAGATAATCCCATCCACCAGCCAGAACTCCAGAGTAGGCAAAGGAGATGACTATGCTCAGGTCAGTGGACGTAAAGCGGGTACAGAGAGGGGCATCCCCCTGACGGGATTCCTTCATGCCACTGGTGAACATGCCATGGAAGAACTCACAACCGCATGCCAAAGCCACACGGTGAACTGGAAAAAGGAAAGATGAGATCAGGCAAACCAATGGCCATATCTTGGTTACCCTTTCAAGTCTCAACCTCTCAATCCAAATCCATATCTGCTAACATTTAACAAATGGAAAGCATGTCACATGTGGCAAATCAACATCGGTGTATGATCAAGACAGCCAATGCTATTACTGAGAGAATAGGCTAGGACAGTGGTTCCCAACCTTCCTAGTGCTGCAATCCCTTAATACAGTTCCTCATATTGTGGTGACTCCCAACCATAACATTATTTTAGTTGCTGCTTCACAACTGTATTTTGCTACTGTTACGAATCATAATGTAAATATCTGATATGCAGGATGTATTTTCATTCACGGGACCAAATTTGGCACAAATACCCAATACACTCAAATTCAAATACTGGTAGAGTTGGAGAAGAATTGATTTTGTCATTTGGGAGTTGTAGTTGCTGTGATTTATAGTTCATCTACAGCAGAGGCGGCCCTAGGTAATTTTCAACAGTAAGCAAACAGTATTTTGGCGCCTCCAACCAATCACTGATATATATTTTCTGTTTGTCTTTGGAGTTCTGTGTGCCATATTTGGTTCAATTCCATCATTGGTGGAGTTCAGAATGCCCTTTGACTGTAGGTGAACTATACATCCCAGTAACTACAACTCGCATATGTCAAGGTCTATTTTCCCCCAAGAGCGCCTCAAGAGCGCCCCTGGGCAAAATCAACTATACTGCAAATGCTTACTTTGCATAATGGGTTGAGCCGCCCCTGATCTACAGTCAAATAGTGTTCTGAACTCCACCAAGGTTGGAATTGAACCAAACTTGGCATACAGAACTCCCCTGACCAGCAGAAAATACTGGAAGTGTTTGGCTCCGCATTGAACTTGAGTTTTGGAGTTCACCTATATATAGTGAGCACTAAGGACTCAAACAATGATGGATCTGGATCAAACTTGGCACAAATCCTCAATATGCCCAAATGTGCACACTGGTGGAGTTTGTGGAAAATAGACCTTGATATTTGGGAGTTGTAGTTGCTGGGATTTATAGCTCACCTACAAATCAAAGAGCATTCTGAACCCCACAAATGATAGAATTGGGCCAAACCTCCCACACAGAATCCCTATGACCAACAGAAAATAAGGTGTTTCCTGATGGTCTTTGGTGACCCCTCCAACAGCCTCTCATGATCCCCTCCCCAAGGGCCCCGACCCCTGAGCTAGGAGAAACTGCCGCAGGTTGCTTTTTCCCTGGGCTTACAGGGAAGGGTAGGATTCCGCCCTCTCATCTCTCCTTGCTGAGTTAATTGAATGCAACTTTTGCACTTTGAACTCACGATGGGGATAAAAGAGAAAAGTGGGAGGTGGAGATGGAAACCGAGATGTTTTAGAAGCAGTGCACAAAAAAGAGGAAGGGTAGAGCATTAATTGGTACTGACCCTGCCAAATCAGGACAGTTGGAAGGTATGGAAATGTAGATTTTCAATTTCACCTCAACCCACAGAACCTATTATATCTGCGTATTAAGCTGCCACTCAGCTCTTTGCCTTGTTCACCTCGGAATGTTTCTTCTTCGGCTTTGAGCTCCAGATTCCAGCCTATGCCTTTGACATAAAGCTCTTCCAGGTTCCGGAGCGTCTCCCATTTCTCTTCTGCTGGACTCAACCTGCCCTCTGTTTCTACCCCAAGCAGTGCAGTCTTGCAAATCTCAGCCACGCGTGGGACGCCCAGTGCTTCAGCCGCGTCTAAGATCTCCCCAGTGAATTCTGATGTAGCCTGTAATTCTCCAGTGTAGACAAAATTCAGTATGGCCTCCCAGCCTCGTCGTGTAGTCACTCCATCCAACTCCATCACACCTTGTTCCCCACATTCCAAACGCTGCCGGAAGATGGAGCTCACGGCAGCCAGGAGGGGACCATGGGCTTCATAGGTCCTCTGGCCAAGGGACACTGTCACGTCCACAAGATGGTGGTGTTCTTTCAGGTGCAAAGCTGCAGCAAAGAAACTGTCTGCGTGGCCTTCATTACGTAGTTTCCACTGGTGCTTGGCTGCAGCATTCACTGGAGGGCTGTCAGTGCATGACATTGCCCCCGAAAAGGAGTAATCTGTTGGAAAAGACAACTAGGAAACAAAGAAACAGGTGAAGGAATGTGGCAGAACTGGAAGCTGACATACATGAAAATGCACCCTGCAGTCACCCAAACCGAAAGCATGACACAAACCAGAGCAATTGGCTGCGAAGTGAGAATATATTAATGTCAACCAGGTTGCTTTCTCTTCATTAGCCATGTCATCATGTTCCAAAAAATGTAAAATATCAGGCAAAGACTCCCAATCACTCTCTTTCTGCTTCAGAGGGAGGTAAAGGCAAACTGCCTCTGAACAAAGCCAGCCAAGAAAACCTTGTGATAGCTTTGTCTTCGGGTCGCCATACACTCTGATGGCTTGAAGCCACACAATACCAACGATGATGAGACCTAAACCTCTATTTGTGGGATATGTTTACACTAAGATTGGTTTAATTAGCCACTGAAGCATATATTGCACATTTTGTGCAGAGATGTAGTTAGTTATGATCTATGTCAGTGGTTCTCAACCTTCCTGATGTCACAACCCCTTAATATAGTTCCTCATGTTGTGGCGACACCCAACCATAACATTATTTTTGTTGCTACTTCATAACTGTAATTTTGCTACTGTTATGAATCCTAATGTAAATATATACAATGCAGGGTGTATTTTAATTCACTGGGCCAAATTTGCCACAAACACCCAATACACCCAAATTTGAATACTGGTGATGTTGGGGGAGATTGATTTTGTCATTTGGGAGTTGTAGTTGCTAGAATTTATAGTTGACTTACAATCAAAGAGCATTCTAAACTCAGCCAAAGATGGAATTGAACCAAACTTGGCACGCAGAACTCCCATGACCAACAGAAATTACTGGAAGGTTTTGGTGGGCATTGTCCTTGAGTTTTGGAGTTGTAGTTCACCTACATTCAGAGACTTAAACAATGATGGGTCTGGACCAAATTTGGCATGAATACTCAATATGCCCAAATGTGAACACTGGTGGAGTTTGGGGAAAATAGACCTTGACAGTTGGGAGTTATAGTTGCTGGGATTTATAGTTCACCTATAATCAAGGAGCATTTTGAACCCTACCAATGGTAGAATCGGGCCAAGCTTCCCACACAGAAACCCTATGACCAACAGAATACTGTGTTTTCTGATGGTCTTTGGTGACCCTCTGACACCCCCTCACAACCCCCCCCCCCAGGGGTCCCAACCCCCAAGTTGAGAAGTGCTGATCTATGTCATTTCAGAAGACCAAAGCAGCATGGATATTGAAATCCCATCCCTCCCATGTGGACCCACCCTCAAATTAATCTCCTAATTGGTCTCCAAGGATTTCCAAGCTGTTTTGTGTCCTATTGAAGATCTCTATCCCAATCCTCTCACCTTTGGAGCTTGCTCTGTTTAGAGCTTTCTTGGGCCTGCCTGATATCCGTAGCTGCAAATGGGTGACCGCTAGGGAATGTTGGCCAATAGCCCAGGCAACAGCTTGGAAAGTTAATTATAGTCAAGGCCAAGTAGGACAAGATAGGTAGAGGAGTGGGGAATCAATGTCTGAAGTTACTGCTGTACTCCCTCCCCAAATAATAGTTATAGTCTCATTCTCAACAGAGAAAACTTGGAAATTAACATGAAATTCTTTTTCAGATTGAGCGTTTCAGACTCCATTTGGTGGTTCAGGCTACTGGATGGTCCTGAATATTTTTTAAAATAATAATTATTAACCCTTCTTGCAGTATGCCTTCAAATACCGCAGTTTCTGACTTATGACAACCCTTAGGCCATTGAGTCACAGGGTTTCGGGGGTTGTATCCATCTCTCTGAATAAGTGGGAAAGAATAATTCTCTCGTATTGTCGAGAGAATTATTCTATGGCTGGAATCACTGGGTTGTTGTCGTTTTTTTTCGGGCTATATGGCCATGGTCTAGAGGCATTCTCTAGACCATGAGAGAATGCCTCTATACCACGGGTCCTCAAACTAAGGCCTGAGGGCCAGATATGGCCCTCCAAGGTCATTTAACCGGCCCTCGCTCAGGGTCAACCTAAGTCTGAAATGACTTGAAAGCACCCAACATGGTGCAATGGTTTAAACCAGGGTTCCTCAAACTAAGGCCCGAGGGCCAGATACGGCTCTCCAAGGTCATTTACCTGGCCCTTGCTCAGGGTCAACCTAAGTCTGAAACGACTTGAAAGCACACAACAACAACAATCCTATCTCATCAGCCAAAAGCAGTCCCACAGTTCCCATTGAAATACTAAGTTTATATTTGTTAAAACCGTTCTTCATTTTAATTGTTGTATTGTTTTTAAGTGTTTCTTTTTTTGCATTACAAATAAAATATGTGCAGTGTGCAAAGGAATTCATTCATGCTTTTTCAAATTATAATCCGGCCCTCCAACAGCTTGAGGGACTGTGATCTAGCCCTCTGTTTAAAAAGTTTGAGACCATGGCCATATAGCCCGAAAAAACCTACAACCCCAATAATTCTCTCATTTCACCTTGATCTGGGAACAGTCTTTTCCCTAAAATTTCTGTCTTAATTTGCAAACAGATAAACAATGTTTTAGGGCCATGGTGGTGCAGTGGGCTAAACCACTAAGCTGCAGAACTTGCTAAATTGAAGGTCGGTGGTTCAAACCCATGGTCAGGGTGAGCTTCCGTTGATAGCCCCAACTTCTGGCAAAGTAGCAGTTCGAAGACATGCAAATGTGAGTAGATTAATAGGTACCACTCCAGTGGGAGGGTAACGGCAGTCCATGCAGTCATGCTGGCCACAAGATTATGGAGGTGTCCATACAAAATTGACTCTTTGGCTTAGAAATGGAGATGAGCACCACCCCCCAGAGTCGCACACGACTAAACTTAATGTCAAGGGAAAACCTTGACCTTTAAACATGTTTTTCTTTCTGTGGATGAAAGGTTGTCAGCAAATGTGGTTGGCATTGAATCCATAACCTTTATCTCCAAGTGCTATCCTTATATCTTAGGTTTCGGCCAAGTAATCACAAAGCCGAAGACAACCCTGAATTGACAAACTATGATCACCTAGCAAGGATTGGCCGTATGCTGCCAGTTTCCTTCTCAGCCCTTTGAGAAGTTCATCAGGTCCATGGGCACAAGAAATTAGTTGTGGTAGGAGAATGGATATGTAAACTATGTGGTATGTTCTGCCAGGAACCCAATCAGACAGGACAACACCCCTGGAAAAGAGATCTTTTATCTCCTATCTGTGCTCCTCATTGCGTGTCAAGAGGTGAAGAAAATCCAGTCTCTTACTGGTCTTGGAAAAGTTTTCTTCACACTGTTTTTTCCATTAAACAATAAAGAGGGTTAGAAAGAGACAAAGGGATTTGCAGAAGCAGGACAGCTTGGTGGATAAACAAGGCAAGAGAAGAACTAGAGATGAGAGAAGGAGCGTCGGGAGAAAGGCAGGGATAGAAAAGGACCTCTCTCTGGGGCTCTTTCACAATAGAATAGTAACACTATAATTTTATAAGTTATTTATATATCGTGTCAGAAGTGAACCGAGGGTACAGTTGTAATATATTTAAAAACACAAACAAAGTTTGCAAACTTGGCATTATATTAAATGTCCTTTGACCAGTAGCTGGCTTCTTGGAGTGCCTCTGGTGTTGATATAAGAAGGTCCTCCATTGTGCATGTGGCAGGGCTCAGACTGCATTGTAATAGGTGGTCTGTGGGTTGCTCTTCTCCACACCCACATGTTGTGGACTCCACTTTGTGGCCCCATTTCTTAAGGTTGGCTCTGCATCTTGTGGTGCCAGAGCACCATCTGTTCAGTGCCTTCCAGGTTGCCCAGTCTTCTGTGTGCCCAGGAGGGAGTCTCTCATTCGATATCAGCCATGGCTTGAAGTTCTGGGTTTTAGCCTGCCACTTTTGGACTCTCGCTTGCTGAGGTGTTCCTGCATGTATCTCTGTAGATCTTACAAAACTATTTCTTGATTTAAGGCAATAATTTTATAATGATCATGGCAACTTCTTATGGAATTCTGGAGTTTGCATTTTGGTGAGCACTAGGGATGTCTCCATGGATATATAAGAAATAATAATAAAATTTTATTGGTATAATGCCCTATTTCCCTGATTTTTGTATTTGATGATGCTTTTATTTTAATCAATTGTATGATTTTCTTCCTGGACACTGAATGTTTTGCGTTATATGTTGGAAACTGTCCTGCAGGGCAGTTTCCAACATAAAACACAAAACATTCAGTGTCCAGGAAGAAAATCATACAAACGGATTAAAATAAAAGCATCATCAAATACAAAAATCATACTAGAACACCACAATAAAAATGTAAACCAATTGCAATTATAACTCCATCAGTCTAGGCTCAATAAAACCACTGGCTAGGACTACCAAGGGGCCATAGGCAACTAAAGGGCTGGGCAAAGGATAGTACAAACAGTGTACTTGAAACCATAGATAATAGCAAAACCTATGTTTCCAATTTACAACAAGACCCTATTATCCGTGACTCTTTCACTTACCCATGTTCCAAAATATATTCATTCCCTCACCGAAGTGTTTGTTGGTCTCTCTCCACCAGTGTGATTCTGTGATCTGCTTCCAGCTCTAGTATAATCACAATACAGGGTTTGCTATTATCCACAGTTTCAGGTATCCACAGGGGTCTTGGAATGCCTCTCCCTTAGATATGGGAGTCATACTGTACTTTGGCTGGAAAATTGCACTGGAGGAGCAAGAAAGGCCCCATAAACGCTTCCAGGGAGCATAATTTGAAGTCTGAGTAAGTGGAATGTGGACACTGAGTCTGCAGATACAGGGGCCATACTTTATTCTTTCTTCAACTGCACTTCCCAAGATTTCTCAAGAGATGTTGCCATAACAGTTGAAATCATCCCGAGGAATTCTGGGATTTGCAGTGGACTTGAAGTCACATGATAACAACATTGCATATGACGTGTGTGTGCCTTCAAATCATCTGTTGATCATGAATTGTGTAAGGTTTTCTTTGGCAACTTCTACACAGCTAATAAAATCCAGATTATCTGCTTTGAACTGGATCATATGGCAGTGTAGACTCATGGCCCTTCCATACAGCCCTATATCTCAGAATATCAAGGCAGAAAATCCCACATTATCTGTGTGTGAACTCAGATAACCCAGTTCAAAGCAGATATTGTGGGATTTTCTGCCTTGATATTCTGGGATATAGGGCTGTATGGAAGGGCCCGCAGGTAATCCAGTTCAAAGATGATAATGTGGATTATCTACCTTGAAATTCTCAATGACTCAAGAGTTTTGCCAATTCTGTCACTTGAAATAGAGCCCACAGCACCTGGTATTATTCACTGATGATCACCCATCTAAGTACTAACCAGGGCTGACCTTTTTTGCTTCCAAGATTAGATGGGATCTAGACAGGTTCTTGAATAGTTTCAGGTTTCTGTTTGTTTGCTCTGGCAGGAGAATGTTTAATTTCTGTCTGTAACATCCCTTGCAGGCAAGGATTTCCCCTTCCTTTCCCAAGCTAACGAGTTTCAGCCAATATTCTTGGAAGCGCTTGAGCCCCATTAAAAAAATACTTATGTGTGGTTAATTACCAGTCGGCAGGGCTTGGCGCTGTCTTCTCCGCCCTCCGGTTGTGCCAACTTGCCCTGGTTAGAATAGCAAATTAATCTACATTAACCTTGTCCAAGCATCAGGTCTTCAGGTCTAGAAAGCCACGCCAGTTTCATAAGAGGAACATCTCTGATTGGGGTGGGGCTCAAGTTTCGACGGTTCCTGTGGGGTGCTTGGCTTCGTGGCCTGTGGTTTTGGACCTGATGGACGTCTACAAAAGCCCAGTGGGGCGGAGACCTACAACCTAGGATCATCCTTCTGTGGCTTTATCAGCTGGGAGTCAACCAATCAATCAGGAAGACATTTCCATTTTGTGCTCCGGGATTGGAGTGAACTGTCACCAGCCAGTCATCCATGCGTTGTTTTCAGAGTTGAGTGAGTAGAAAGGTGGACTGAGGTTGATATTTTGGTTGGTTGGTGATTGGTTGGTTTGGACTTTGAGAGGGTTTGGACTTTGAGAGCTCAGATCTAGCCTCTTTGAAGGACCATGTCTCCCTCTATGAACTTCTTCAAGGTCTAAACTGCAGAACCAACTCTACATTTCCTCAACCTTTCAAACTGCATTCATTGGGAACAAGGAAAAGGACTGTCTGGGGCCCCATCCACACAGCTAAATGAAATCCCACATTTATTGGGATATATGGCAGTGTGGACTCAGATAACCCAGTTCAAAGCAGATATTGTGGGATTTTCTGCCTTAACAATCTGGGTTATATGGCTGTGTGGAAGGACTCTTGATGATGGGTCTCATATTTTGCAACTCCTCCCTAAAGGAAGGCTCTCTCTTTGCAGTCCTTCCCTTTCCAAGTCAAAATTTTCCATTCATTTGGCCTTTTGAGTGTGATTCCAAGGTTCTCATAATGGCATGGTGTTTTGCTGGCTTCTGATATTCTGCCTTTTAATGTGTTTTCAATGGTTTTCATTCATTATTGAACATTTTCAATAACGCATAAATATAATTTATGGATATGTAGTGGTTTGTTTGTTTTTAATAATCTTTATTGAAGTTTTCCAATATAGTTAAAACCAAAAAAGAGAAGAACATAGCAGGAAAATAAAAAGAATAAAGAGGTACTAAGGAATAGAAAAAGAAAAATAATAAAATAGAGTAATAATTTTTTTAAAAAGGAGAGAAACCATTAAAGAAGAAAAAGAAAAAAAAGAAAAGAAAAAAGATAGAAAGACAAGGCAGTTGTTTTGACTTCCCGGTATCTTCTAAATGGGCATCTCTTTTCTTTCTTCTTCCTCTCTCCCCTCATCTTCTGTTTCTTATTTGTTCCTGCCTCTCTCTCCTTACTCTCTTGCCGTGTTTTTACTATTTTTTTTAATTATTATAATAAGATCTTGTTTCTTTCTTTGTAGTATTCAGTTACTTTTTCCCAATTTGTTTCTTTCATGTTTATTCCTCTACTTTTTGATACAAGAAAGGTAAGCCTATCCATTTTCTTGATCTCCAATATCTTCGTTAGATGCTCATTTTCATCTGGGGTTTCTTTTTTGCTTCCATCTTCTTGCATAGCAAATTCTAGCAGCCGTCGTAAATCAGAAATAGTAACTTGTCCGTATTTTGTTCTATGTCGAGTCCATGCATTCCTAGGAAGAATAGTTCTGGTTTCCATGGAATATTAATCTTCAATTTTTTTGTAGTTCTCTGGCTTTCATAATTTGTAAGAGGTCATGAACCAACCAAGTACTGGGAAAAGGCAGGATATAGAAGAAATTTAGTAAGGTAGAGACTCGCTTATCCAACCTTCGCTTATCCAACGTTCTGTATTATCCAATGCAGTCTGTCTCCCACTTGGATCCACAGCTGTTCCAATACATTGCGATGTTTGGGTGCTGAATTCGTAAATATAGTAATTACTACATAACGTCACAGTGTATTGAATTGCTTTTTCTGCCAATTTGTTGGAAAACATGATGTTTTGGTGCTTAATTTGTAAAATCTTAACGTAATTTGACGTTTAATAGGCTTTTCCTGAATCTCTCCTTATTATCCAGCCGGCCCGTTTATATTGGATAAGTGAGACTCTACTGTAATAATGAGGAGGAAGAGGTGATGGTGGTGGTCTGTTCCTTTCTGTGCATTTTTATTGTTATTGTTATTGTAATTATTATCTTTGTTTATACCCCACCTTTCTCCCAGTGGTTAACACTCCACACTAGACAAGATTAAAGGATGCAATACAAAAGTTAAAAAACAATTAAATAGTAACCGTGTGGTAAAAACAGAATTCAAATACAGTAAATAGTATAAAAGGGCCTTCTAAACTCATACCCACCCTCTCCAATCCCACCCAGCCTATCCATTTGTGGCTATGAGAGGGTTTTCCAAATTATGCTTGGTCTAGAACACCAAAATAAGCATTACCCCTATTAGTGGTTCTCAACCTTCCTAATGACGTGACCCCTTAATACAGTTCCTCATGTTGTGGTGACCCCCAACCATAACATTATTTTTATTACTATTTCACAACTGTAATTTTGCTACTGTTATGAATCATAGAATCAAAGAGTTGGAAGAGACCTCATGGGCCATCCAGTCCAACCCCCTGCCAAGAAGCAGGAATATTGCATTCAAATCACCCCTGACAGATGGCCATCCAGCCTCTGTTTAAAATCGTTATGTAAATATCTGATATGCAGGATGTATTTTCATTCACTGGACCCAATTTGGCACAAATACCCAATATGCCCAAATTTGAATACTGGTGGGGTTGGGGGGGATCGATTTTGTCATTTGGGAGTTGTAGTTGCTGGGATTTATAGTTCACCTACAATCAAAGAGCATTCTGAACTCCACCAATGATGGAATCGAACCAAACTTGGCATGCAGAACTCCCTCGACCAGCACAAAATACTGGAAGGATTTAGTGGGCATTAACCTTGAGTTTTGGAGTTGTAGTTCACCTACATCTAGAGAGCACTGTGGGCTCAAACAATGATGGATCTGGACCAAATTTGGCACAAATACCCAACATGCCCAATTATGAACACTGGTGGAGTTTGGAGAAAATAGTCCTTGACGTTTGGGAGTTGTAGTTGCTGGGATTTATAGTTCACCTACAATCAAAGAGCATTCTGAACCCCACAAATGATAGAATTGGGCCAAACTTCCCACACAGAACCAAATGACCAACAGAAAATACTGTGTTTTCTGATGATCTTTACCGACCCTTCTGACACCCCCAGTGACCCGCTCCCCAAGGGTCCTGAACCCCAAGTTGCGAAACGCTGTTCTAGCTGCACCAGAAGAATTTCTACAGGGTTTTCAAAAGCTAGCTGTTAGAGAAGCAGAGCTTCTTCATTTCAGTAGCTGAATGATTGATTGGAAAGACACTCTGGTGTATTGACTTGAGCATTGGAATGCAATTCTAGGTCTTCTCCTTTCTGCTGAATTAATTGAGTGCAAATGATTTTATTTTATTTACCACATGTGTACCTTACCCTTCTCACACTGGATGGGACTCGGAGTGGCCTTACAAAGGTAACAATTTGATGCCATATATACATATACATGTCGATGAATAAACAAATGCATTCAAATTCAAACCAATTAAAAACATAAATATTCAAACATCAATTAAAATCACACAATCCAAATCATACTCCAGGGCTGATCCAAGTCATCATTATGTTATTTATAATCTTTTCTTGCACTGCTCCACTTTACTGACCAAAAGCTTGGTCCCAAAGCCATGTTTTTACTTTTCTTCCTGAACATCAGGAGGGATGGGGCCGATCTAATTTCACTGGGGAGGGACTTCCATAGACAAGGGGCCACCACTGAGAAGGCCCTGTCTTTCATCCCTACCAGTCACCCCTGCGAAGGTGGTGGAACTGAGAGCAGGGCCTCCTCAGATGATCTTAGCCTCCGGGGTGGATCATAGAGGGAGATACGTTCAGACAGGTAAGCTGGGACAGAACCTTGCAGTGATTCTTAAACTGTGAGTCCCCAGATGTTTTGGCTTTCAACTCCCAGAAATCCTAATATCTGGTAAATTGGCTGGGATTTCTGGAAGTTGTAGGCCAAAACACCTAGTTTAAGGCTTTAGAGGCTAAAGCCAACACTTTGAATTGTGCTCAGTAGGAGACTGGCAGCCAGTGAAGGCGATGCAATGGAGGAGTTGTATGCTCCCTGTACGCAACTCCAATGAGCAATCTGGCTGCCGTTCGTTGAACCACTTGAAGCTTCCAAACAGTCTTCAAAGGCAACCCCATGTAGAGTGCATTACAGTAGTCTATTCAGGATGTAACAGGAGCGTGGAGCACCATGGCCAAGTCTGACTTCCCAACAATCTTTACACTTTGCATTTTAAGCATTGGAAGTGAGCTGAGGACAAAAGGAGAGGAGGAAAGAGAAACAGAATCATACTAAATGCCACTAAAAAAGTGGGGCAACAGAGGATTAACTAGCACCTTCTCTGCCAAGTTGGGAGAATTGGGAGGTACAACGGATCAGAAAATATAGGGCACTAATGAGGTCACAGAACCATGGACTATTTGGATTGGACTTATTTATGCCTATCCCTCCCCCTTCAAAATATGTACACAGTTCTTTTTTCCCTCTAGGCTTGTTCCTCTTTCCTTATTTTTAGATTTTGCAGACTCAGAGTTCCTGGTAGTGCCATTGCTGACTATTCCTCAGAATATTCAGTTTGTTCAATAAGAGCAAACGAAATAGATACTTTCTGGACATCTCATAAGGGCTACAGTGGTGATGCAGTGGGTTAAACAGTTGTAACTGCTGACCTAAAGGTTAGCAGTCTGAAGCAGTGGGTCAGAGTGAGCTCCCACTGTTTGCCTTAGCTCCTGCCAACCTAGCAGTTCGAAAACATGCAAATGTGTGTGTGCAGGTACAACTGTACCTGGAGCTCCAATTTTGTTTGCTTTGCATTGAATGTTTGTTGTGGTCCTAAGTTTCAGGGACTCTTTTGGCTGCAATCATAGGGCAAGCCACCTGTCAATTATAGTTAGGTTCCCTGGTCCAGCCCCCTTTTTGGGTTTTAGAGGGAATAGGAGCCATTTTGGGTTCAGTCCACACAGAGAAGCTTTTCATGCAGGACATAATACCAAGAGCTCCTGTAGAAAGCTTCGTCTTCTACGGCTTGGCCGGGGAGATATACAGCCCACAGCTTGGCTGGGGTTATACAGCCCTACATTTCCTTTGCTGAAGGACTTCAGTCAGCCATCATGGAAATCTGAGTTCTTTTTCCCCTGGAAGTCTACAAAGCTCTGCTTGGTAAGGGTCTCTCACAGAAGCCAGAAGCATTTGGTACCGGGTGCAGGGGCTCCACGCCAACAGAGGCAAAGACAGACTGCCCAGATTAGAAGTTAAGGATTTCCCCATTGTTACACTTATGAAGACAGTGCCT